ACGACAGATGTCTTAACACACAAAGATATCTTAACACGACAGAGATCTTAACATGACAGATGTCTTAACACACAAAGAGATCTTAACAAACAAGATATCTTAACACGACAGATGTCTTAACACACAAAGATATCTTAACACGACAGAGATCTTAACATGACAGATGTCTTAACACACAAAGAGATCTTAACAAACAAGATATCTTAACACGACAGATGTCTTAACACACAAAGATATCTTAACACGACAGAGATCTTAACATGACAGATGTCTTAACACACAAAGAGATCTTAACAAACAAGATATCTTAACACGACAGATGTCTTAACACACAAAGATATCTTAACACAGCAGCACAGATTGCTCGTGACCTTGAGTGGCGCTGAAGCTGCTGACTCAGAGAAAGATAGATGTTTTTATATGAAATTCTCATCAGCTCATGGAGGCACTGACTGGCTCTTAAAGTTCTTTGCAGCTGGTATCATCACATCATACACTTACAACAAAGTGTTATATTATACGTTTCAAGTAGATTAGTTTAAACAAAAAGATGTCAATGAAGATTCCATTACATAGACCTGCATTATCTCTGATGGCCAGCAGGTGGCAACCCTACTGATTACAAAAGTCAATCCAAATGTATGGAAGTCTATGAGGAAATAACCAAATTCTCACTTGATTTATTGAAAGGGTCTCAATTGCTTTGTTTTGATTCTCCCTCAATACAGTACAATGGTCCTTGTGTAAATGACGGTGTAATTTAGAGTAAAAAAGATCATTAAGACTTAAAGGTAGGGTAGGTAAGTTTGAGAAACCGGCTCGAGATCGCTAGAATTTGAAAATACACAACCGGAGAAAATCTGCCACTTCCTTATAGAGCCCCTCCTCCAACACACACGAACGCGCACATGACCAATGAGGGCACGAGATAAGTTTGTGCACAGATGGAAGGCTGACAGGCAGGTAGGCCATCCAGTTATTTTAGCCGGGCGGCTAAAATGATTGGTCGTGCTTTTTACAGTATTACGGCTTCCACAGATGACATTTTTTATGGATTTTTTGTCAAAGCACTTCAGATTTTCATTGCTATCAGGATGTTAAGAGCATTCCATGGAATATAACAACAAGTGTATCTCGAGCCGGTTTCTCAAACTTACATACCCCACCTTTAAAAGATAGATGCTTTTATATGAAATTCTCATCAACTCATTTTGTTGGAGGCACTGTCTCTCTTGTACTGTATGTGTAGCCGTAGCATCACAATTTACACTTACAGCAATTTGTTATATTACATATTTCAGTCGATAATGGTTTAAAAAATACACTAAAAGGTTCAAACAACACCCCAAAAAGGCAACAAAGCTCATGTATTATTGGCTTCATCTGAAAATGGAATCTTAAGCTTACAGTATAATACATAAATGGCAAATGCATATAGTTGCATAAATAAGTGTGATTTGAAAGATGTCTATGAGAAGATGAACATATTCTTACTTGATTAATAACGTCTGTAAACATTTTTATGACCTGTTTATTGTCTCAATTGCTAGTTTTGACTCTCTTTCAATACAATATGAATTGATTATAAAGGGCACCGAAGCTGTTGACCTAAAAGATGGACAGAAGCTTTTATATAATATTCTCTTTAACTCATGTTGTTTCGGCAACTGACTAACTTTTACTGTCAGTAAAGTTCTTTGAAATTGTATCATCACACCTACATTTCCAACGAGATGTTTTACACATTGAAGGGGACGATAGATGTAATATAGACTAAAAGATTACAATAGTATCAAACAATGATTATGACAACCATATGGTAAATGGTGGTGGAGCGGCAAACATCAACACTGGTCAAGGATTGGCTTAAACTCGCATTATTTCTAATGGCCAGCAGGGGGCGCCTCCAATGGGTTCAAATGAAAGTCCGGTTGAATAGAAGTCTATGAGAAGATGACCCATACTTTCCACTTGATTTATTACCTTAAGAAAGCATTTTCCTGACACATTTAAGGATTCAATCACTCGTCTCAAATACTTTTGAATACAGCATGAAATGATGGTCCCGTTTACAGTCAAATAAACGATAATGAAGGTATGCTTTTGGGTAAGAATACCGAGTGACAGGTCGCTATCATTGTGTTGTCTTTTCCGGTTGTTTACCGTGTTTTTGTTTTACAGCTTTATTCTTTTACAGTGTTTTCAGTATATGAGTTGTTTCGATCTCTCTGTCTGTACAAACACACAGAAAAATTGACATTAAAGTTGACTTTGACTTTGACTTTACTATATATGTTGGTCGGCAAAGAAATGTGTTAAGCGTTCGATTGTAATCTACTAAACTTCAAAACCGCAGTTCACAAACCAATGGTTGACTTCACTAGGACTACATCCATTTTTAAATATACAGTCTATGCTCAGCACTTCACATACAAGCATCTACTGTAGGGCCCATTGTGATTAGATTATGCGCAGTGTTGTAGTGGCTCTTGTAAAAATATAATCAGTACTACAACGCTCTTTAGTACAACTTAACCTTTTCCATACAAACTGCTGATTTTGCTTATTCAGACATTATTACATAACCCCTTGCAACACAGCCATGTCTCATTGGACATATGAGGTACACGGGATGTTCTTATATTTAGATGGTGACCACATCTGCTAGACTGCTGTATGACTATAGGAGTCACACGACATGTTCATATATACACACAGACACACGACTGTTGACTAACACCATGAGGAAGTACATTTCCAAAAACTAGACGACACAGCTGAATGAATCAATATTTTAACGGTCTATTTTGGCTCTGTCGGGGGAAGAGCATTTTGAATAAGTTAGGGCTTGTGATCCGGTCTGATATGTCATGCACTATTAATGATAAACTCTTCTCTGCAACATGTTTGAATGTCAGCCTCCCATTGCTTTCAATCAGAAACACAATCAGTGTAAATGTGCATGTGTTAGAGAAGACTACCTAAAACAAGACTTCGTAGACATATTCTCAAAAATGAATTCATGTTTGCATAATCCCCTAGATCTTGATGTATGCTTCTCCTGTGTACTTGAAGACTACCTTACTGCTTTAAGCCGATTTTTGCAGTTTTTTTACGATCAGCGTCTGACACATCGAGGTCTGACTCATCGAGGTCTGACACTGATGTTCCTTTTCCAGCTTTTCCACTCCAACTTCTCTAGTCCACATTGTATTAAAATGTCCTTGTGTTTGCTCAAATATCTCAATATGCAAAAACTATCACATAGTTCTTTGTTTTTAGATGTCCTTTAAACCCTCAGCGGTTCCAAACCTTTTTCAACTGAGGGCCCACTTAAGAATAAAAAATGTTTTCGCAGCCCACATTCAACCATAAACATTACGGAGGCTAAATAAAGTTCTGATCAATTCAGGACATGTGACACGTTGTTAATCCAGTAGAACAGACCGTTGCTAAGGACTGTAATGACCGTTGCTAAGGAGGATCAAGAAAGAGAAAGGAAAAGAGGTTCAAATAAAAAAAAATCCTAATAATGAAAATGTTTCCACACAAATCATAATGTTTTGCAAATTATTTGGCGGCAAATATTGAATTTACATTTACACCCTTTAATATTTTTATTTGGGCTTTTAGATGAAGACCGCACACAGTTAATTAATTATTCTTCTGGCTAAAATACATATTTTTAAAAGTCAATCAAGGAGTAATCTTATTTTACGGTGCTTGAAGAGTAGATTAAAAATACAATTTATTTTGGAAAAATCGATTGCCACAAAAAATCCAAGGGTGGCTCAACACGCCATGAAATATAATTAGCTCTAACGAAGAGTGAGATTAAAGGAACAATAAATATGCTTGCCATGTTGTGTTTTTGGTGGTATTAGGTTGTCAACCTATTTTTGTTTGTGAAATGTTGAAGTGATCCTACTGACTGTATCTTTATTTCTTCAGTTTTTGTTTTGTTGTTGTCTGAGATGGGAATGTCATCTCCTATATGTTATTGCTATGTCCATGTTTGTGTCTCAGGATTTGAAAAATATAAAATGAGTTACGTCTGCTGATTTGTCAGGTTGTTAAAAGAAAGTCAATATTGTAAGCTGTGTTCCCCTCACTGCAAATGGCCTTCAAAAAGACTTAATACATTGCTCTCTGCTTGATGTAAGAGCTCTTATAATAAGAATTATAAATGTATCAGTTGGTATTGTGCACATTTCTTTCGAATATATTGACAAATAAACTAATTCATTGTATGTTTTCTTGTGGTTATTGTTGTTGTCTGTGCCATTTCATGCTGCTATCTTACCCAAACATGTAGCCAGGTAAGGAGAAAGAGTTGGAAATCAACTATTTAAACCCTGCAGAATTATAATTGACATGGCTTTGGGACCTTTTAAATATGACACATAAACTGCAAGCCTTTCCACAACATTGCACCTCTCAAGTGCCTTCAATATCTTTTTCTATTTCCTCTTGTTGAACATTATGTGCAGCTCCCAAAAAAACAAGCCTTTACACGTTTTTACTTCAACATTAGGTATGTGAAAAATGCTCGCTTGATAAAAGGGCTCGCAACGTTCATCCATTCCTGTATATCAACCACAGAAATATGTTCTCTAAAGGGATTTCAGATCAACTTAAAGCAGATTGAATTATTACTAAAAGTTACAATTCCTTGCTTTTATATCATAATGATTCTTCTCCATCAAAGCCAAGAACTAAGCACCTCAGATGTTTGATATTTTAGTAAATGACTGCCTCTTAGGTAAATAATAAACATTATGTTTGAGGTAAGGAAAAGAATAAAAGTTAATCTTTATAAAAAATCCAAGAGCATTCTTCATTTTTAAAGCAGTGTCCCAGAATGCAGCTGTGCGCCTCTGTGAAGTTGTTCAGGCACGAGTGTGTAACTCGACACCTGACATCATCTGTTTTAGGGATAGTTTGGCTATTTGAATGAAACCAGATGTAGTCTCCCTTCCTGGAAAAGAAAAAAGAAACTCCTCCCCAGACATGGAGCTCCCGTTGAACTTCCTCAAAATCCAGCCGTTATAAACTCACACACTGACACTTTGACAGTAGAAGAAGACGGGCTCACACTCACTGAACTTCGACAAACTCTCTGACTTTTGGACTTAAGGTAAAGTTCTTTGTTTCTTAAGTAATGCTTTCAGTTTCCTGTTATCCTTCTCTTGTGCAGGGCTAGTCTTAGAGTCTGTACAAAATAATCTAAAAGGGATTGTTTTGTGCTAAACTAAAACTAACTTTTGTGTAACTGAGCTGAACTGAATTAGAGAATAATCTTTATCACAGGAACTAATTTCCCACTAAAGACTCTTAGATCCCTTCCTTTCTGCTCAGATAAATTCATAAGTATGTTTGCCAGCTATAAGAAAGTTATTAGTGTTAATAGGATTAGGATTAGAGAATGATTTTTGACCCAGTTGCTCCTTAAAAAACACATTTTGTGAATCAGAGCTGCAGCCTTAACTGCGAGCTGTTATGTCACCATTTAAAACAAGCGATTCTTTGTGTGAAGTATATGAATTCATTTGTGAAACTTAAAGGCACCACCGTTAAGATAACTCTAATGACTAATACAGTACATCAACAGAGTGCATGTTTGCTTTAAGATTAACTGTAAATGATTTGCATAGATCATGAAACCTTACTATTTAAATCCTGGCATTTCCATCAGACCACACAGGGGGGAAGCCAGACTGCAGACATAATCAATGTGTGTAGGAAGCAGACAGCGCACAGCAGCCTGAGCGCTAAAGAAATAATGTTTACTTTCTGCCTTTAGTTTGGTTAACCTCGACAGGTCGATGGAAACGGTGAACACAAATACAGATTAGAAGCAGGAGGTGATAAAACAAGAACAAAAGAGACACTAATAAATCACAGATGGGAAGAAAAGGTGGCGACGGAAATTCAGACTGCGGTGATTTAAAATGCATTGAGAAAATCCTCAATCCTTAAAGAGAGAGGAAGCAAACTTTTTGAACAAGAAGAACTTAACCTGTTTAGTTGTGTTCTTTACGTAGTGGCTGGTACTCATTGGTATGCAGCTCCTGGTACACCATGTCTTTAAACATATGATGTAATTTACACTGGGGACATCCCCCCACCACTTTTTTAAATTGCTGATTTGACAATTAGACAGCAGACAATGTCAATATAGAAGAAACAATTGTCGTTGTCTAACAAAGTAAGCTCAAAAAGACAAAAGGAAACCCTAGGCTACCGATTATTCAATCACACAAAAGTCATATTTTAATGATGCATATGGGTGACCATTAATTGTGTAAATGACAATATTTTCGACTTACTGTAATAATAGCCTTTGATGCTATGCATGTTTTCCAGACCGTCCGTAACTAAGGAACTCATACAAACACACCTTTTACATTTCCTAAAACTTATGTTGAACGAGTCCTCATGTCCCAAACTATTTTTCAACACAATTTGCCTACAAAGCACAAATATTCAGCGGTTATTCCAAGACTAGAAAAAGCTCTCACATCAGCAGATTTCTGTTTTTCTACCTCTGGACAGGAAGCAGGTTTTATCTCTGATGTCAGCTGCTGGAGGGTTTCCTAGAAAATAAAAAGGAACAGGTTTCTAGTCCTAGATAGTACATTAGACAAAACCCATCATGTGACATTGACATCAGTACAGAAACCCGTGCAGTTTTTTTATTCTCAAGAAATGATATTGTCACAGGGCATACACGTCAAAATAAAATACAGTTAAGACTATAAAACAGTAACAAAATCAGAAGAACAAAAACATCAACTTATAGTATATAGTTATAAAGTCTACTTATCATAAGTACATTCATTGTCATGTTTTGTGTTGTATACCTCACCCATTTTTCCAATCTTGCATCACAGATATGATTCTAATTCTCATTTAGATTTGTTTTCATTGCATTTCATTCCCTTAAATCACTTTTTTCATTAAGAGTTAAATTGATTATCATGAATTAACCGATTCCTTGTAATTTGATGAACTACTCTTATTACTAGGAATGAGCCCAAAAACACACACAAAGTACATTTTTGATCTTGTCGCGGCTTCGACTCTCACAAACAAAGTGTCTAACACAGGTCTCATGTGTTTATTCAAGTCCAGATGTGATGTCTCTTAAAACATGAGGTTGTGTGTGTGTTGTTGTTGCAGGATGTTGCAGTGTGTGTGTGTATTGCTGCTGGCGGCCTCCGCTCTGAGCCACCTGGATGAAGCCGCTCTGGACAGCCAATGGGAAGACTGGAGGAGCACACACAGGAGGGAATACAACGGCCTGGTGAGTGTCCTTCGTTGGTACTGTGTACGGTGTAAGACTGCCTAAAGAAAATGCAAGAAAACACACAATAATTTCTTCTGGTGAGGACAGTCTCTTATGACTTTGGTTTGCCTCCACTGGAGAAAACATGTTGCACAACTTCATGCTTGGCAGAGAAAAGGGTTGGGTCGGAGACATGTGTTTATTTATACGCAGCATACTTCAGTGACTCTGCGTTATTTCGTGGTGAAGCTTCGCCATTTATTAACAGCCCAAACTAGATTGTCCTTAAAGCTTGGCATGAAAGTTAAAATGCTGAGAAACAAATCTGACTCAGAACTTCAGAGCTGCAAATTCCCCAGCGATTGCATCAAGCTGTTTTTGTTTGATAAAGAAATGCTGAGTCATGGACGGACAGGGGGGACATCAGACTAGCGTTACAGTAAAAAGGATGTCACGCTTGCATTGCATTATCATATTTTCTAGACCAAAAGTACAACACAGTTTAGATTCTTGGAAATTCATTTCATGTTTATCAGAATGTTTATTGTGTAAGTGTCAGCTGCTTTCTCGTTCTCTTATCCTAATGGTTTTGTCTCTAAAAGTAACCATCAAATAGTTTCATACGTCGCAGTTTGATATAAATATTGTTGTATAGAGTTGTGCTAATCTGTCACATGAGAGTTGATCAATACTGTACAACAGATGTTACTTAACCTGTTATTATTATGTTAATGGTTATTTGATGTGTTATGCTCTGCTAGAACTATTGGCTTTTTAAAAATCCCCACCAATATGATTAGATATGATTAAAATAAAATGACGAGTATGGTGATTAAGAAAAGATTCCTTCATCAATAACTTCTGAGAATACAAGAGAAACATCCTCTCCGTCAAAACAAGACTACATGCTGACAGATGTGTCTCTTTAAATGTCAGAGTGTTACCTAACAATAACTCTGATGACCTGAAACACAACAGGCTGAGTTCTGCTGAAGATAAAACCAGAAATGTGAGTTTGCTGGTTGCTCTACTTCCTCGTTCTGGCCAGAAAGATTGAGTTATAAAACAGAGAAGCAAAAGTAAATGATCATTTACAGTCGCTTTATCTTCCTCATACAAAGCCAGTAATTAAGAAAAAGATATTTTAAAAGTGTGTAGTCTCACTTCTCACAACTTCTCGTGGTTCGTAGTTTGATTTAAGACGTCCTACTTTAATTTATGTTCATCTTATACTATTGTGTACATGCATGTGTACTTATTCCTGCCTTTTAGTTGTCACTTGCACTATTTATGTATTTTTCTTCAGAGCTTAAGTGTAGTGTATGTTCAGGGGCGGACTGGGACTAAAAATCAGCCCGGGACTCTCGTCCGTCCCACTTCGGTACCGCCGGCCCACCTCGGTACCGCAAGTAAATACCACTAGTGCTAGTGAACCGGCCCACAGCGTCCGGTCGGACCACTTCAGTACCGGCCAGTCCGCCACAGTGTGTGTTACAATGCTGGAGAAGGACTTGAGATTTTCATTGACAACAACTCAGTGTAGCTTTTACACATATGAGAACTAAACCTTTGCTTCTTAAAAAGAGGTTTAACCAGGCCTGTATTTACCTGGTTAAGCCTTGATAATTAACTAAGATCAAATGGACTAAAAAACAACAAACTCTCATCCTTTCCTAGTGATTACGTTTGTTATTAGGGTTAGGGTTAGGGTTAAGGTACAGTAAGGGTTAACATTTGATACTGCATCACTTTGCATATAGAAGTCAGCTAGTGTCACAAAACAGTGGAAACTGGGATAAAAAAACACAATCAAAACTGTGGAAACTTGTCTCACCTGCCACGCTGATGACTTACTTAGATATTCTACTTGCAGTGAATTTTGCAATACTAAATTGTAAAGCTCTGTTAGTGAGTCCTTGCATGTATAATCTAACTTCAGTATAAGTACAAAAGTATAGGCATCAAATGTACTTAAAGTACCAAAAGTACTCACTGTGTACAATGACCGATTTCAAGATTCAGAATATATCACATTACTGGATTAACTCTATATGTCAATGTTTATTAATATGTTGATTTAAATTGAGTTTTATCAAATCATCTGTGAAGTAACTAAAGAAGAGTTTAGTGGAGTAGAAGTATATAAAGTAGCATGAAATGAAAGTACAAGTACATCAACATTGTACTTAATTATATTTCCCCCTGCACACCTGTGGCTTTTGAAGTTACGCTTGTCTCTCAGTTTTCTCTTTGCAAAAATTCCATGCCATCGATTTTTTAATTATTATTTAATTCTAGCTTGTGGCCGTAAGGAAGTAAGAGCATGTAGGTTAGTCGGTGTTAAACCAGAGCAGACTCCAGATGTACTTCCTGAGCGCTCAATGAGCATCTGCTTTCCCTCTGCTCTTCACCTCTGGCTAGAGGTCATCACACAGCTGCAGAGCGTGCGTGCGTGCGTGCGTGCGTGCGTGCGTGCGTGCGTGCGTGCGTGCGTGCGTGCGTGCGTGAGTGAGTGAGTGCGTGTGTGTGTGTGCGTAAAGATGCAAGTGTGTGCTTAGGTCCATGCACAGTAGCTAAGTGTGTTTTCTGTTGTTTATCTGTATCTGTGTGTTCATGCATTCATTTGTTGGTGTGTGTGTTCATTATATGATGTTTTATTTACATTCTTGTGTAGTCAGCTGAAGAGACCCTCTCTTTGTGGCGATTACACCCAGTGTTTCTCCAACATTTCCTCTAGCCCTCCTCGAGCTGTTAGAGAATCAAAGTGTCCCGGCAACATTTGCATTTTCCATTACCGCAACAGATATCAAGATAGAATTAATGATCACAGTTATGCTAATGGTTGTTATGACCATGAATACGAAGTAGTGCATGGATGTGTTTTTAGTTAACCAACATAGCACTTAGCTGCATCTTATTCCCTTTTTGTGATGGACGAAATGCAAATGCCTTTCTTTTACAGCACATAATGGACACTTAGAGAGCTGGTGAGATGTACATATTTATAAAAAGTAAAGGCTAAAGCAATATTTTAACACAAATGACCACTCAACTGGACAGATATGTTGCTCCATTTACTGTCACATGGAAGATTGCACTGTGAGTGTGCACTGCTTTAATTGGGCTAATTAATGAAATGGGGCTGTAACACAGACAAGCCTCCTCTCACTGCTAATTAAATTGTAGATATGCCCTATTTACCGTGATTAAATTCTTTGAGCTGTCAGGAGTTAGCGCAGGAAGAAAGGGAGGGGAGCAGCGTATAGGAATGGGGAAGGTGACTCAAGAATCTGACCTCATTATGAAGACCATCAGGTAGAAATAATGACCAGTGACTTCCTGGATTTCACATTTCAGGTCATAATCAGTGGTGGAAGAAGTATTTAAATCCTTAAGTTAACAGTACTAATACACTGTTAAAATACTCCATACATTAAAAGTGATGCACTGAGAATGGTACTTAAGTAAGTGTTTAAGTGTCATCAGGAAAATGTATTTAAAGTATTTGGGGTAAAAGTACGTAAACAACTATTAAATAAATTGAGAAACTGGATCAAATGTACACAAAAAATCTGTAGATTTATGCTAAATAAATATCTGTCAACCCACTTATTGTTTGAGGTAATTAAATATAATGTTCATTAATTGAATCTATTTCAATACATCATATTTTAAACGTTTTTTATACATTTGAACATTTAAAATCTACATTTTTAAAGAAACTAAAGCAGTAAAATAAATATAGTAAAATAAATAATAAATAAAAAGCACAATATTTCCCTTTGAAATATAATAGGGTGGAAGTATAAAGTAGCACAGAGAGAAAAAACTCAAGTAAATTGATACTTCAAATATTATTATCTATTTGAGTTAATGGACTTAGTTACTTTCCACCACTTGTTTTTTATTGTATTTGTTTATTTGGCAGGGACATTGCACATTAATGAACACTTAAAACATGAAATGTGCCAAGTCTAAATATGCCGGATTTATCTTTGAGCTACTTTCAAGAGAAGATACCCCTGTATTAATGTGCATTTAAAAGTTTTAAAGCTCTCTTCAAATGTAGGTGAGAAATTAAAACTTGAATTGTCTGAAATTGGAGAACAGCTGATCCTCATAGTCGTTTTTACACCAATTCGTTTGTGTTTTTGTCCGTTTTTTTACGCTAAATGACACATGCTGTTGTTTGTCTCAGGGCGAGGAGGGGATCCGCCGGGCCATCTGGGAGAAGAACATGCTGATGATCGAAGCCCATAACCAGGAGGCAGCGCTGGGAATGCACTCCTTCGAGCTGGGGATGAACCACCTGGGAGACATGGTGAGTCTCATCAGCCCTGAGCCGATTTTTCAGGCCTCGGAAATGACATGCTCAGAATGAATGACTATATCTCTTCACTTCTAAAAGGGGTATATGAATAATCTTTTTCTTCAAAGCCATTGTGGCGTTTTAATCCGTGTCTACATTTAATAGCCACTTCTCTGTCGGGGTTTGACCATAGACTGTATATATATATATTATTTGACAAAGTGAATGGCGCACAAGAATAAAATGACTGCAAATTCTATCAAACTAGTTTTCATCACGTTTCAGTTACCCTAACCCTAACCCTAGCATATTTCTGACTTATTGACACATTCAAGTCATTCATTTATTATGTTTAACATCACCATGATATCACTGGCTCTGCTCAGCTGCTGTGATTTCAACAACAGGCAGTTATTTCAGGTTAATGAAGTAATGAAATACCAACTGTGCCGCATGTATGCCATTTAAATGCCTCAGGGTCTGATCTTATCGGATGGGAAAAAACAATAAGGCTTCATGAAACAATTGTTCTTATTACCAATTGATTAGTTCATTTACAGTGAATGTTTAAGTTTGCTAAGCCCATAGTGACACTCACACATGTCTATTTCTGTATTTGTTTCACCGCTACCTAAAGAGATTTCTATCAAGTACGACAAAAAAAACAACATCAAATTCTCCCTTTTTAAAGTCTGTAACTAGCACATGTTTTGCTGGAAGAAGAACTCAATGAAGAAATGACTTCATTCTAAAAAAATAGTTGGCAATTAATGTCCTGTCAATGCTCCAATCATTGCTGCTGTAGAAATCAATCAGCGTTGACCCACAGTCTGAGTTATAGCTGCCATTAGCAACTGTAGTAAAGTGAAAATTGATCTCACTGCCGAGTGCATTCAATAGTGAGAATCCTGTTTGTAGTGAAAGTCATCGGAAAGCAGCCCAGTGTCAGAGCTCCATATTTCCCTCACCTTGGTTTTATCGGCTGTCGTCACTGATGCATGCTGCAGAGCGTCGAGCTGAAACAAAATGAGATTTGCTGTCCTTAAATCAGCTGTCTTCAGTGACGTGTGTGTCAGCGCGGGTCATGACTGATGGCTGTTTTTGCATCAAGATGCCGGCTATAACAAGCAATAAATCAGCGGGGAAAAGCAGAATGAAACCCGACAGCGCTTGAGCTCTTTTATTAGAGACAGGAACATGTACTACACATCCAGATTCTGGATCAATGGCCCATTCACGTTGGTGCAGAAACAGGTGGCCGGGAAATAAAGGCATTTTCATTCTGACTGGAAGTGAAAAGAAAGACATTACCAGATGGCTTTCACTCCTTCTGTTAATGATCTCTCCGCCTGCAGACTGAGCTGCAATGAGAGCATTCTGATCACTTTCAGAGTCGCTCTTCCCACCTTCCTTCCCTGCTTCTTCTTTGACTTCGTTGTTTTGTAAAACCGTGCAGCTTCGTGCACAGTTACGCCCCTCTGGTGTCATGTTGACATGTGTACTCCATTACAACTAAAAGTCATGAACTGAAAATGTTTCTTAAGGAGGCCATATTATGCTTTTTGGGTGTTACCTTTCCTGTAGTGTGTTATATAGGTTTCTCTGCATGTAAATGTTCTGCAAAGGCTAAAATCACAAAGTTCCCTCCAGTCTCCTTTGTAATAAAGTACGATAAGTGCCTCTAAAATGTAGTGGTATTATACAGTAGCATAAAGAGTAATTACTTGTTGCTTAAAGACATCCAGTAGTTTCTTTGTCACTTTTCTTTGTCCTCTTTTCCTCTTCTTAGCCTCCATCTGCTTCTTCTTTAACTTTTTTTGTAGCTTTGTTCATTGCACTTTTTGCCCCTCTGGTGTCAAATGTGGACCTCCGGAAAGAGCAAAAACACTTCATCCTCCGTCACCCTGCCGAATCAAATCCTCTCCCTGATGTATTCATTTTTCTTTCACTTGTCTAAAGCCTAAAAGTAAATTGTCTTTGCTTCTCCTAACTTGTTCCTGTCCAACAATATTTATTTCTCACGTGATTATTTCTGGAACTAAGGGAAGTTTCATAGCATTTACTGTAAGAGTTGTGCAACCTGTAACTCCTAGTTTGCACTCTTTGTTTCCTGTTAAGTGTTTCAATATGAACATCTACCTGCTGTTGCACTTTTTCCTGAATGACAGTGTGAAATACTTTTCCCTGAAACCTCATGTAAAGTCTAAACTGTGTGTCTCTGTGCATGCAGACGTCAGAGGAAGTGAACGAGAAGATGACCGGCCTGCTGCTGCCGCCAACCAACGGCCAGCGCAGCTTCACCATGGCTTTCGACGAGAAGCTGCCAAAACTCCCCAAATCTCTGGACTACCGCAAGAAGGGCATGGTGACTCCAGTAAAGAACCAGGTCAGAAGTTACAACTACACACACTGTTTCAATAACAACTCATCTTATCAAATATCCAGTTCATTAAAGCTTATAAGTTATTTGGGCAGCTCTCTGGGGAAAAACCCACAAGGAACATTGTAGTTTTTTGTCTTTTAGGATCTTTAAATCCTTCGTTTGAACAGTAAAAACTCATTTGAAATCCTTTCTAATAAACCATACTTTTGGGTCTTTTAGAGCTCAAAGAGGAAGAAAAACGTGTTGATTCGGTAAATGCACATCTGTGTCATTCCCTCAAGTAGCTTTTAGACAGTCAATAAATACGTGTCTTCACCAATGGATGCAGTTTGATTACGATGACGCTGCAAATGTTGACTGTTGCTCTGTTGAATCCTAAACACATTGTAAAAGTGAAGGTGAAGTTAATACGTTTCCAAAGAAGTGGGAGAAACCCACCACACCTGGTTTATTGAGAAACAGGAACAATGGCGATGTACATAACGAATCATCAGAACATAACTAAGGGCAGAGCTGGAGAAATAAAAACTTTCAACAGGATCCAGAGCTGATATCCTATTATCAAAATGTTACACCTCAGTAAGCACAGAAACCAAAACAAACCGGGACATGACAGCAGATTCAACTCTTAATTTAAGTGTCATAGTTCGTGAGAATCAAAACAGGAACAGCCGTTTCCAACCGTGGAGGAAGTCATTGCACTTTGTAGCTGTTTTATTACTGTTTCAGTAATTAAAGGTGGGGTAGGTAAGTTTGAGAAACCGGCTCGAGATACACTTTTTGTTATATTCCCTGGAATGCTCTTAACATCCCGATAGCAATGAATATCTTAAGTGCTTTGACAAAAAATCCATAAAAAAATGTCATCTGTGGAAGCCGTGGTACTGTAAAAAGTACGACCAATCATCTGAGCCGGCCCGGCTAAAATAACTGGATGGCCTACCTGCCTGTCAGCCTTCCATCTGTGCACAAACTTATCTCGTGCCCTCATTGGTCATGTGCGCGTTCGTGTGTGTTGGAGGAGGGGCTCTGTAAGGAAGTGGCAGATTTTTTCCGGCTGTGTATTTTCAAATTCTAGCGCACTCGAGTTGGTTTCTTCAAAATGACCTACCCTACCTTTAATTAATAGCAATATAGGAATCTACAGATAGAAGTTGTGTGATGTTGTTTTTTTGTGGGCTTGTGGGAAACCAAGACGGATTTCCTCAGGCTGCTTTAAGGCAAAATGCTTCCTTTATTTCTGAGGGGAAATGTGGCTGCATGTTGCAGGCAGGAGCAAAAATAACAAAGGCAGCTAGTAATATATTATAGAAGTAATACAGTGTGCATTTTAAGCAAGTATGTACCTCAATATATGACACATCTGCATATCAATTGGAGAACATATTAAAACAATTATGCAAAATTGTTAAGAATCTATAAATATGTTGAATTGAGACATTGGAGCGCCACATGTTCTGCCTTCATCTTCAGAGTGTTTATTCTTCTGGCTTACAAAAACCTTTACAAATGTAATAAGATGAGTTCAGTGAAACCCCATTTGATTTAGCTCTAATATGAATACAAAAACATCCTCCAACATCTGGAGCAGAGGCACTCTCCAGAGGCTCTCATGTGACCTCAAAAACAATGAGATGTTTAGTATGTGGTGAAAAAAAGTGTTCCTCAATAAAGACTCTCCGAAAATAACCTGGTGAAAAGAAATCAAAGCAAACAATCGCGGTTAGTGTGCGATCACATGACCTGCAGCCTGTTCTTACTGCTAATGGACACACAAACACAAGAATGGCTTATTACATGTAATTAGTCATTATGAGTGGATGGGACAGCCGGATATTATTTATGTAAACAAGGGGTGAGCCGAACAGGAAGTGGATGGATTGACAATATGGCGTACATCTGCTCTTTCGGCTAGCGGCAGATTAGCAGCGGAGTGATGTGATCTAACGAAGCCGTGAACTGAAGCACCGGGTTAATATTTCATTTTATTTTTCATTTTGTTCTTACCCACATAAAGTTGTTTTGATTTGGATTTATTGACTTTGAGGTGTAGTTTTAGTGTTTTAAGTTCATAGTTATGCAAATACATGCATTCTTTTGCACATTTAGTTCATTCAAATAAGGACCAATAGGCTACGTCTGGAAATGTATTATTATTATTATCATAAAGAAAAAAGATGAGAAATTAAAAAAATATAATTAATCCATCCATCTTCTCCCGCTTATCCGTGGTCGGGTCGCGGAGGTAGCAGTTCCATATCATTAATAATAAATACAAATAAAAATACAAATTAATTATTATAATATAAATACGATAATAACAATAATAATATGAATATAGTAGTTATTAGATACACTGTTGAGATGTATACATTTACTGTTGTTTGTTGCCTATTTTATTATCTTTAATTTATGTGCAATGACTTACTACATGCTGATTGGACAAAATAGAAGTCCCAAATTGGGAACAATAAATAATAGCTTATCTAAATTATAAAAATACACACATAAGATAAAAAAAAAACATTTGAAAAACACTATTTTCAGATGATTTCATAGCCAAAATCAATGAAACGTGACTTTTTTTAAATTATTATCATTATTATTATTATTATTATTATTATTATTACTATTATTATTAGTATTATTATTATTATTATAACCTGTGTAAATACAATGTCTATGATGTCGTCGCCCTCTGGTGGATGGAGGTGACACTGCAGCTATAAACAGGATTTATTGAGCTGCTCGTCTTCTTCTCTCCTTCATGAATAATTCAGCACACTGGCTTCACTCTGTGCATACTAACACCTCTGCTGCTTCCTCCTCACTTCCTCTCGAGATGACTGCATTGTGTTTGGATGTTCTGTTTGTTCCAAGCACATTTCACAAAGCAGCTTTTCAGAACATCCTCCAGTAAAATGATGTGGAAACACATTCACAAGGTTTTTAATTAGAGCTTTTGTTTTCCTTGAGGAGAAAACGCAGAGGTGTTTTTAAACTGGAAGCCTTGATGCAGGCAAGAGTTTATAGTCAGATAGTGATTTTAAGAGTGTCTACTTCATGAGATAAAGAGTGAGACAGCAGCTCCATAGCGTTATTAATGGCTGAGTCAATTAAACACAATGTTATGTATCACTCTAGCTGTCAGAACAGAAACACTGTTTGAATTCAAGTTGTCACAGTCTGCCTCCCAGTGGACGGACTGCAGAAAACAAGCGTTTGATTTTCATGTCATTTAAGTCTGATTTCCCCTCAGGCTGATGAGATATTAATACCGTTTTAAAATGCTGTGTTCATTAGAAAAGACATGAACAAGTGGATTTTGCATAATAGGGGACCTCTAATAGAGGGCTTTGTATATATTGTAATTATCGATTAAAACTAAAAACCCCCCCTTCTCTCCGGACAGGGTTCCTGTGGATCCTGCTGGGCCTTCAGCTCGGCCGGGGCCCTCGAGGGTCAGCTGGCCAAAACCACAGGGAAGCTGATGGACCTGAGTCCCCAAAACCTGGTGGACTGCGTCAAAGAGAACTCCGGCTGTGGAGGAGGATACATGACCAACGCCTTCACGTACGTGGAGGATAACGGAGGCATCGACTCCGAGGAGGCCTACCCGTACGTCGGAGAGGTAAGAAAATAATAATAATAATAAGAGAGGTGTCTGCTGATCGTGTATATATAGATATATACATGTTTTTATACACCTTTGTATTTAATGTACACACATGAGAATGGCATTTATTTTTTTATCCTACAGAGAAAAATGGAAATGAAAATAGCTGGACCAACTTAAGTGAATTAATTCAATTGGTAGAAGGCAAATTAATTAGCTAAACAAGTCAGCTTAACAAAATGTATATGAATCGGATGTACTTTATAATTTGTCTGCTTTCAAATAAACAGTTTGGGATAATCCAGTTTAATTTTCTCAAAGGTTGAAGTTTCAACTTCAACTTTTGGAAATCCTCCAGACAAACTGAAACCAAACTGGTCAACAGTTCCTCTGCTGGCTGTCACGTTTAGCAATCAAGGAACAATACAAAAAAAACATCATTCCCTTTTTCATTTTGACCTCTATGCACCACAAACATTTGACTGAAGGGATGTGGTGTAGCAGAAATTAGAACAAACTCTCCCTGTGTCTCACTGAGCAAACAAAGTTTCCTCTTAAGTCATTTATTGTTTTTATAAGGAAGTTCAGCGGCTTGTTGAAGACAACTGGTTCCTCATTGTTTGGCTACTGAACACTGCACCTGTGATCTGGCACGTCATGTGACAGTAAAGTCACAAGGTACGATGCACACGCTGCCAAAAAATAATTACTTGCTTCTCCACAACAAAACAGAGGAGAATTCCCAAATGTTTTACCATCACATGTCTTGTTTTGACCATGCAAAAGTCCAAAATACATTTATATTTGACTGCTGTTTTTCCAAAGAGAACACAGATATCTAAATATAATATTTTCTGGGTCTTTCCTCCTCCTTTTCTTGCCTTTAGGACCAGCCTTGCCGTTACAATTCCTCCGGTATGGCCGCTCAGATTAAAGGTTATAAGGAGGTTCCTGTGGGCGATGAGCGGGCGCTGGCTGTGGCTCTCTTTAAAGCCGGACCCATCTCTGTGGGCATCGACGCCGGACTCGGAACCTTCCAGTTCTACCAGAGAGGTCAGTAAGCGGCTCTGACAGCTGCTTTCTGTCAACAGACGTTCAATTATCCAACCATTGTTTTGTTTTATACACATAGAGGTTATGGTGTTTTATACACATAGAGGTTATGGCAGGGGCGTCCAAACTACGGCCCGGGGGCCATTTTGAATCGGCCCTCAGCAAATTAAAAAAGTATAATGGAGAACGGCCCACAGATGAAACTTGTGCTGGTCTTGTGTTGTACTTCTTAAATATAGATGAAAACAGATATTACTCAGTAGTATTCATGTGTTAAGAAGCCCACTTTTCAAACAAATTCAGTCAATTAAAGTTGAAAAATGTTTCTATAAAATCTAAGTTGATAAGAAAAACGTCCAATAACTTATTTTCATAACGCGCTTGAAATAAACCCTTCATATTTCTTCTTATGATAATCAATCTGAGGCTTCTGTTTTAAGGAATGAGCTGCTAACAAGATAAATGAAACCCTCTGGATTGCTGGGATGTAGGCTGTTTGTTTTCTTAAAGTTTATTCAAGTATTAAGCATAATTTACCTACATTTGATTAATTTTGCTAACTTATAACTTAACTTATGAGGCGATATACCTCACCTCGAGTGAGGGGCCCAGCTCTTCATATGTTTTTATGTATGTGGCCCTCGGTGAAAAAAGTTTGGACACCCCTGGGTTATGGTGTTTTATACACATAGAGGTTATTATGGTGTTGTATACACATAGAGGTTATGGTGTTTTACACATAGAGGTTATGGTGTTTTATACACATAGAGGTTATGGTGTTTTATACACATAGAGGTTATGGTGTTTTATACACATAGAGGTTATGGTGTTTTATACACATAGAGGTTATGGTGTTTTATACACATAGAGGTTATTATGGTGTTGTATACACATAGAGGTTATGGTGTTTTACACATAGAGGTTATTATGGTGTTTTATACACATAGAGGTTATGGTGTTTTATACACATAGAGGTTATGGTGTTTTATACACATAGAGGTTATGGTGTTTTACACATAGAGGTTATGGTGTAAGAATCACAATGCTTTACCCTGTTTTAAATAAGTGTGTTTTGGAAAATGGTGTTATGGATGATGGATGGAGGAGGTGTGCAGCTGGTCGCCTGCAGCTCTTCCTCTAACAGATCGCTGTAGCTGCTCCTTCTTCCTCCATCACTCCCTGACAGGTTTCAAAATGATGCAACGAAGAGAAGAAACTAACATGACCGTTGTTGTGTTGATTGATGGACGTATTTCTGATGGACGATGATGGTCATGTCTCAACAAATATTAAACCAGAGTGGAAATTGTGGATACTGCCAATAAAGATTTGTATTTACGAGATAACTAACTTCTTAGTATGCAGTAAACCTACATTAAATGGCTTTTGCAGAAAAAAAATGCAGATCTTAAGCAGCATTAAATATTCCCTTTCATGACATTTTAAACATTACGACTTGAGATTAATGTATGTATGTATTTTCACCGATGCCCTTCCAGCTCACCTCTCATCCCTCTTTACTCTTCCTCTCCGACATGTTCCCAGGAATTTACTACGACCGCAACTGTAACAAAGACGACGTCAATCACGCCGTGCTGGCAGTGGGCTTCGGAGTGAACAGCAAGGGGAGGAAATTCTGGATCGTGAAGAACAGGTGGGACACAACGGCATCAGGTGGCTCATAAAGGCGCCAAAATGAAACCATTTTTCCTTAGCGCTGATTTGACGCCTCCTGTCGTCCGTCCGAGTTGGTGACAAACTGATGATCTGAAATGACTACTGGCGATGTTTACGACTCTCATATGTCTTTCCTTCCACTTCTAAACGTCATCTTTTCTTTTTTATCCTGACAGCTGGAGCGATACCTGGGGAAAGCAGGGCTACATCTTGATGGCACGAAACCGCGATAACCTCTGTGGCATCGCCAACCTTGCCAGCTACCCCGTCATGTGAAGAGGACGAATCGGAGACCACTACACACACAAACACACTTGAAAATGTAAGCAGGAGATTAGCCCAACATGTCCACAACCACTACAAACGAATAACAGAAGATGTCCATGTTTATGTGGGTTTTTAAACACACTTTCGATTCATACAAAATGTTCACTTCCAGTGATAAAAAGGGCTAAATGTTGTGTGAAGTCTTGGATCCAAATGTCCTTAAAATCATTTATTGAGGAGATTTGGTTATCTCATTTGAAGCACTTTGAACCCCCTTTAGTTTTATCTTCAAACCAGCAGACCTCCAATCAGATTTAGTACCTCAGGGCATCGTGTTAGGAACCCTAACACATGTTGGATTTCTGCCAAATGAAATCTTCAAACACACCAGGCACTTCCAATACAGAAGTCTGGTAGTATTTGACAGTCTTAGTCCTTACATTTTAATTACAGTTCATGTGAGAACTAAACAGAGACGAAACATTGCTGGGCGATGGGAGTCGGTTCCTTTATACTCGTTACAAACTTTACTTTTGTTTTTGTTGTTGTTCTCTTCAGCACCTTTCTAAAGATCAAACTGTAAACTGATGTTTTCTATGAATAAAGGTTTCATTTTGAAGTTGAATGCATTGTTTGGATTCCTTATGCTGATACAAAGAGACTGAAAAATACAAGCATTGCACGTTTTACAAAGCTAGATAGCAATCTACAGCTTAACATTATTTTAAGTGAGCTTCATTTATTTGTTGTAATCTGACAGTACGTTGCTAATCCATTCAGCAGATAGATAACATATTTATAATACACTGAGACCTCTGTAATAACAGATTAGTGCACACAACAGTACTTTGATTTAAAGTGGACCTATCATGGTATATTTAAATGATATATTGTAGGGCCATACCTATATAAGGTATATTTATACGTTTCTGTTTTCAAAATACCAAACAGATCATGCATTTTAGCCATGCCTCATTTCGCTATATTTGCACTTTTTTTTAGCTCTGCTCTGCAAGGGCAGATTCAGTGAGAACAGGACCATCTACTGGCCTGGCATATGTACTACAGCGTCTCCAGCGCTTTTGAACGGCAATGGCCGTGGCTGTCTCCTCCTGATTGGTGGAGTTGGCCCAATAGCCGTAGCGCCACCGTCCTGACGTCAGGACAGTGTTCAAATCTGGATCAGTTTTTATCAGATCCGTTGCAGCCCCTTTTTTAGAGATTTGGGTATGGAGGAAAATAGAGAGGGTTGTGTTTTCTGACACTTGGTGAGTTCCCTGGAACACCGGGGACACATATTCATGTATAAAAGACGTACAAAAGTGCATTTTGCATGATAGGTCCCCTTTAATGTTAAAAAAGTGGAAATTCTAAACAGGTTTAAAACTGTAAGATACAAAAACATAGGTATATGTATAATTGAATAGTCAAAAATATTTGCTGACTATTCAATTATAACCAGGGGTGCACATAACTTTTTAATTAGTTACTCAGATGAGTACCAGGAGACATCGTTTGGTACTCACCCCACACGAAGCTTTATTTTAATACATTACATGTCACTTGTTAGACGCTGATAGGTCCCCTTTAATCATAAATAAAGCATGCTGCACTTTATCATTTCAAGAAAAGGTACAGTTTCAGTCTCATAGTGCATCACATATTCCAGAAATAAACAACATAACAGAAAAACAAATATGAAACATACATGTTCCCCCTCTGATAAGTGATGGCATACACATTTTGAAAGCTTTTGAATAAAAATCAGATATCTGGTCCACACGGTTCAAAAATAAAAAAAATATGCATATTAAAGGTTGTATTATGAACAATATTAGGTTTGTCTCAAATGATTACAGACCCTAAATTGGTGTATGAACGTATGTACTCTACAGTAGCAAGACTCATTTCAAATAATGTAAAGTATAAATATGCAGTAGGAAAGTATAATACATTATAATAAAATAAACAATTTGTTCCAAATGTCAGGGGAAATAGCCAAAATACAAATAAGAGGATGACACTGGATGTTTATATTAATTCAAAGCAATTTAAACATTTTACATTATTTTTTGTTGATTAAGTCGCCTTTTATGGCAGAAGTGGTTCATCTGTTTAGTCAGTTCAACACTTTGGTCCAGAAACGTGAACAACGTCTGGCAGTCTGCCACGCAGTGTGTTGACCTTTCATCCAACATCACGGGTCAAACTCACCTCTTGACCTCCTCTCTGCTACAGATACACTTCCTGCAACCAGCGGCTGCATTAAAACACTGCAGCTCACACACACACACACACACACACACACACACTCTCCTGACGATGAAGCCGAACGCGTTTACTGACCTCTCTGACCTTTGCTATTTCAACCACCTTCTTATGAAAAATCTCACTTCGATACTGGACAATATCATACATATTCAATCATATATAGGCTTTATATATATATATATATATATATATATATATATATGTATGTATACTGTATATAACATACATTTAAACATGGGCTATTCATTATACCCATTGAAAGGATATACATTTCCATTTTCAACCCTTAAGGACAAATATCAACTTTGCACTCAGGACATCATATATTCTCACTCTGTTGACTATTACTGAGAAATGTTTGGTGCTCAACATTTTTAAAACTGGACGTTTTATCCTGTAAATCAGGGTTCCTCATAGAGTGGGTGCAGCAAAAAAGCAATGGGATCTCTCCATAGGATTTTGGAAAATAGCTGGAAATAAAGTCTGTGGAAAACGAACCTGTTTGATAAATGCACGTTTTGTTCAGCCGGATAATCTCCACATGTCTACCCTACTTTTATAATTTTCGAATCATAAATCTAATCGCCAGAAGCAAAATATTAACGTTATGCTATAAACGAACTACAGCCGTGTACAGCAGCACGACTTCGACGTCACGCCAACTTAAGATCCATATTCAAAAATACAGATTGAAAATGGTACAAGTTGAAGCGTTTGTTTGAACAGTTTGCAGGAGGCAGGTACTTGCTTTCAAGCAGAACACGGCAAACAAACTTAGAGGAGTGTTTACGTGTTCGGTGTAATGACGTACAACGTCCTCGACAACTTCTGTAGTCCTATTCAGCCACTTGGTAACAACCATCGTTTTTCAGACACGTAAACTCTTCAGAAATCACCAGTGGGGTCACTGCTGATGGATTTAATGTCGTAGAACAAAACGTGATCCGTCTCTTCAATGTGTCTCAACCACAGACCTTATTTCCAGCTATTTTCCAAAATCCTATGGAGAGATCCCATTGGCTCTGAGATGAGCGAACCGGTGGTGGCTCGCGTGGCAGTAGGCTAAATAAAGGGGTGATAGATATGATTATGTGCATAAACATAAAAACATTCAAAACAAGCAGGGCTTTTACATATAACCCATTAAAACACAGAACGTGTTCGCTCTATTAGCCTACAAATAATACAAATAATATACAATAATAGTTGATAAAAGATGCAAAAATATACAAGAAACAAGATATTTAAACTTCCCCCTCCGACACTGACTCACTGCCGAGTTGCCAGTTCTGGTGGTCTATCCAGCACTACATGGCGAATGTGCTCTTGGACGGGTAGATACATGGTGGGATAGTATAGAAAAAATAAACTTAAGGTCATTAAAAATATGTAATCATGTGCATGCTCATGAATACGGACATCTACTTTAAAATGTATTTAAAATCGCTAAATTGGAGCATTTAAATTGGAGGATACTACGACCAACCTGGCACTTTTTACTTTCGCTAGCTTGGCTACGATCGAATAGCTTCTCCATTTCATGCTAGTTAGCAACTGTTTGTAGAGAAAAAATGGATTCTCATGAGAAAAAGTTGCAAACCGGGTGAACAGAAACAAAGCGTGACAAACGAGGGAAAAATGGATTTGGATGCATGCATGCTTCCGCTCATCCCAGTATTAAGGTAATCCTGCATTTATTTTATATAGCGCTTTTCCGAGTGCTCAAAGACACTTTACATTACAGTATTGGTTGGCTGCATTGCATATTGTATGTTCTGGGTGGGATGACAGATTCATAAGCATGCTTATATGAAACTTAAGTATTAAATAACTTCCCTGTCATAAAGTAACGCTCTACCAAAAACCTTCACACTTGTTGAGATGGACACTTGTTGAGATGGACACTTGTTGAGATGGACACTTGTTGAGATGGACACTTGTTGAGATGAACACGGGTCAACAGTTAACCGTCTTGGACCTGAAAGATAAACAGGGAAAATACTTTTGTTATATAGTAATTATGGTAACAAATCTTTCATCTTAAGAAAAGCTTGAAGTACAATTGATTGTTTTTTTTAATGAAAGATATACTGTCAGTTCATTTCATATTGATAGCTGCTTTAACAGAAAGTTCCTAATCAGCTGCAGCCATCTTGATCATTTTCAGAAATGCCTCAACGCTCCTCTTTACGTCTCAAACACACCATGTAATAAATAAACTGACAACAAATAAAACCTGAGCTTGCAGATTATCCTCAACATTGTACAACTGCTCCTCTCACCTCTCAGTCTGTCTCCACATCCTGTTCCACACCTGAGAGGAGAAGGTGAGAGAGCAGGAATAATTAGAATATCCCACTCCGAGGTCATTTTGAGTGAGTGATTGGCACGGAAGCAAACATTGCGTCTGATACAATAGATAAGCAGATACCGATAGTGATACTGTTACTATCTATGAATACATTTTTTAAACAGAAAGTATGGAATTGGTTAAGATCGTGTGTTATTAAATGAAAATATAAAGCTGTGAGCAGTGTTAAACCGGCCCTTGCACTGGAGTGTCCATTTGAGTGAAACGATATCTCTCGTAAGATTTTACGACAAATAGTTAATAGGCGGCTGCATATACGGAAAAAAAAACACATTACCCCAAAGAAATACCCCCAAAACACAAGTTTAGAATAAAAAATTACTTGTCTAGGAGTTAGGGTATTTTAAGGAATGTTCGGCCATCTTGGACGCCATCTCAAAAATTAGACCTTTGTAGTGGTCAGATTTTGGGAGACTTTTAGTATGTTAAATTCACCTGATACTACAATAATCCATTGAGAAACCTTTTGTTGCAATTTGTTGGGGGTCAAACCATATTTGCAGCTGCAAATATGAAAGAAAACACATTACCCCAAAACAATTGCAACAAAAGATTTCGTTACAGTTTCGTGCAGTATTAGGAGTCGCTAATAACATACTAAAAGTCAACCAAAATCTGACGATCAGAAATGTGTAATTTTCCAGATGGCGTCCAAAATGGCCGAAAATTCCTTAAAATACCCTAACTCCACCAAAATTGCTTGACTGGGATGAGTAATAAGGGGCTAATGCCATTATAAGGAACTGGCGTACCAAAATATTGGATTAAAAAAATTGTAATCATATTATTGCAATTTGGAAGAAGTCCAATGGATTTCTAGGCCCCCAAAACATAAGTTTAGACAAAAGATTCCTCAATTTTACACCAACAATTATGTCCTACTGTAGGAGTCTTCGTTTTGGGAATTATTGTAGTTCTAAAAAAAATGTTATACACATTTCGAACTGTCCTCCACTCTGTTTTGAGATCAAAGCACTCGATGCAACACACTTATGTTCAAAAAGTGTTTGGTTTATCGCAATTTGCCAATGTTCACAATTCCCGATCATTCCGCACATTTTGAGGACTTTTTTTGGGCATGACGAGGCAACGCTCCAGGACTAGAAGCGGTCCAGATTTCTAGGGGGAAGATGAAGAATAAGATGACTAATGATGCAGGATAAAAGTATGTGTGCCGCTTAACCTGTCACACACAATAACAATAATAAAATGTTTTTGTTTTACTATGAGGACATGCTTCTTTAAAGATCAGTTTAATAGCTTGATGAATAGCTTGATATGGTTTCAATACTCACATTTCTTCAGCATCTTGGCTGTGATCGTCTCGCCATTGATCCTGTATGGATGAACACAATCCAACAGTTTTGGATCAAGTTTAAAATAAGTATCTGTTCTTTGAGTTAGTCAGCTTCAGAGTCCTGACAAGAGCCAACTGATCTAATGCTTTACATCACATCATATCTTCTCTGCAAACACTGACTGTTTGCCCACAGCTCTCAGCTGCATATAGGCATTAGTCTAGAAAGGAAAAACCTAACATGTAAAAACAGACTACCTTTTCCATTCTTTTCCATAAAATCCCATATGTCTGTTAGAAAGTTGATATATGGCATATCTTGCCTCAAAACGATGCAGAGAAACTAGTCCATGCATTTGTTACTTCTAGGCTGGATTATTGTAACTCTTTATTATCAGGGTGTACCAAGAAGTCAGTTAAGTCGCTTCAGCTGATTCAAAATGCTGCAGCACGTGTACTAACCAGAGTTCGGAAAAGGGACCACATTACTCCTGTTCTGGCTGCCTTACACTGGCTCCCTATAGAACACAGGAGAGAATTTAAAATCCTTCTTCTCGCCTACAAAGCCCTTAATGGGCAGGCACCATCTTACCTTAAAGAACTCATTATACCCTACTGTCCTACTAGGGCATTGCCTTCCAAGAATGCAGGGTTGTTGGTTGTTCCTAGAGTCTCTAAAAGTACAATGGGAGCCTTTTCTTATCAAGCTCCACTTTTGTGGAATCAGCTTCCAGTTTGTGTTCGGGCGGACAGCCTATCCATTTTTAAGAGTACGCTTAAGACCTTCCTTTTTGATAAAGCTTATAGTTGATCAAATAAAATAATCTAATAAGAGTGCATTGACGTAGACACGTTGTGCCTCTTCACCTATACATTTTAGTTCTTACTCTTTCACTTAAATCCTAAAAACTTAGATCTTATATTTAAAACTAAGGTTATTACTACTTCTCATTCTTCTAAATCTATTCTCTCTCTACTTCTCATACTCTCTACTTCTGTAATCTATTTATTCTATTTTCTCTTTATCCAAAACCTTTCCCCTCTCTGACCTCTCGAGGTTCTATCAGAGGGTAACAGGTTGCAGAGAGGCCTATTCCGGCCAGGGAGTGTTTAGACCGTATTCACAGCGTACCTCCTTACCTCTCACCAATTCCAATTAAGGTTCCAGTGGGGACCTTTCTCCCTGCGTGTGCCTCTCCACCTCTGTTCCCTACTTCTTACTTGCTACCCTTTTCCCTCAACCTATCCTAAGGGAGTGCATGTACGTAGATACGTTGTGCCTCTCCACCTCTGTTCCCTACTTCTTACCTACTACTCTTTTCCCTCAACCTATCCTAAGGGAGTGCATGTACGTAGATACGTTGTGCCTCTCCACCTCTGTTCCTTACTTCTTCTCAACCTATCCTAAGGGAGTGCATGTACGTAGACACGTTGTGCCTCTCCACCTCTGTTCCTTACTTCTTACTTGCTACCCCTTATCCCTCAACCTATCCTAAGGGAGTGCATGTACGTAGACATGTTAGTTTAGCTGCTATAGGCTTGGACTGTCGGGGGACACCTTACTTCTTCCTTCTGTCTGTCTGTACCTGTGTACTCTCATGTTCCGAATAACCCAGCTTCCCCCAAATTTCTTTTTTGTGTCTATATCTACGCCGGGATCCTGAGTCGAGGCTGATCCTGTTGCTGCGGTCCTGTGTCCTGGATCCTCTATCCTGAGTTCTGGATTTGATTCCTGGACTTCGAGTCGTGGCTGAACATATCTCTGCGGTCCTGCCTGACTCTCATCATACTACTTCCCTGATGGCTCCCACAGGATTATTGACATCCTTGTGGATTAATCTTCTTATTATAGACACATGCATTTCCAAACATTTGGTCTACCTATGTTGTAAATGTATTATCTCTTTGATTTACACACGGCATCTATTGCACGTCTGTCCGTCCTGGGAGAGGGATCCCTCCTCTGATGCTCTCCCTGAGGTTTCTCCCATGTTCCCCTTTAAACTGTGGGTTTTTCTCTGGAAGTGTTTCCTTGTACGATGTGAGGGTCTAAGGACAGAGGGTGTCGTATTGTCATACTGATATTCTGTACAAACTGTGAAGTCCACTGAGACAAATGTAACATGTGTGATATTGGGCTATATAAATAAACATTGATTGATTGATTGATTACTTACTAAAGTTTGGCTTTGCATGTTGAGCTTGCCTTATATAGTTTATGGAAGAATGCAAGTAAGAAAGAAACTGCAGTGGGTAACATCACTGTTTTGTTTTGTGAGAAACACATCCACCTCCCTGTGTTTAATACTGCTCAGCCAGCAGAGACTGAGTGAACCCTTACTGACCTGAGAGTCTCCAGTCTGCAGTCTGGACTCTCCAGAAGATCTCTCAGCAGCTTCACTCCTGAATCCTTTAGAGTGTTGTAATTCAGGTCCAGATCTCTCAGATGGGAGAGGTTGGACTTCAGAGCTGAGACCAGAGCAGCACAGCTGATCTCTGACAAACTGCAGTACCTCAGACTGAATAAAGAACACATGATGTAAGTTTAGAAAACAATGTTCCTGTTATAAAAGGTTTGATAATCTGTTCAGAACTGGAGCAATAGAGAACGTAAAAGTAAAAAAAGTGGAAATTCCTAACAGGTTTAAAACTGTAAGATACAAAACATAGGTATAATGGAGTCAAAAATATGTTTAGACTATTCAGTCAGTTTAAGCATCAAGTTGCTTCATACAAATGTTTGGAAAGGCGAATACTGAATCTAATTTGAAGTGTTAAATATATGTATTAATTTCATTAATGTGTTCTTTATATCATTTATTAAAAATAAATCATGATAAAGAAATATGAATTTCAGGTTTTTAAGAGGTTCAGAGTGAATTACGCAGTTTGATTTTTCCTTAACATTGCTCTGCCACAGTCAATGAACAAAACCAGAGAAGAAGAAAATAGACTTTAGCATTAAGATACTCAGTGAGGATCAGGATAATATCAGCCTGATGTCTGCAGCTCAGAGTCAACACAACTCTCACATATTAATCTCAGCACAGAAGTAAAAGATGGAGAACTGACCTGAGAGTCTCCAGTCTGCAGTCTGGACTCTCTAGAAGACCACAGAGCAGCTTCACTCCTGAATCCTTCAGATCGTTGTGACCAAGGTCCAGATCTCTCAGATGGATGTTGGACTTCAGAGCTGAGGCCAGAGCAGAACAGCTGATCTCTGACAACCTGCACTCCCTCAGTCTGAATAAAGAACACATGATGTTAGTTTAGAAAACAATGTTCCTCTTATAAAAGGTTTAATCATTTGTTAAAAACTGGAGAAATAGAGAACCTTAAAGTGGATCTATCATGCTATATTTGAACAATATATTGTAGGGCCATACCTATATAAAGTATATAAATATAGTTTTTTTTTCAAAATACCAAACAGATCCTGCATTTTAGCCATGCCTCATTTCGCTCTATTTGCTCTTTCCCGCCCTGTTTTTGCAGGGGGCTGATTCTGTGAGCTGCAGCTGACCACGCCCCCCTGCAGGAGAGGGGAGCGTGCTTTGAGATCAGCTGCTGGGCTGTCAGAAGAGGGGGAGAAAAAGAGATCTCCGTCCTCCGTGTTTTATTCTTATATGATTATATAGAGTCATCATTCATTTGTTTTAAAGCTCAATAAATAACAAAGAAGACCTTTGACCGGCACTTTTCTAATTTTGTCCGGAAGATTTAAACTTTAACGGATATCTTGACCGGCGAAAGTAACTGAAACTGAAACTCTGCCGCACGGTCCCCTCGTTCCTTAGAAGAGGTGGAGAGGTGGGTGTTTGTCATCTGCTGGTGGACTAACCGGAGAGAATTACAGCGCTTGCCTCGACGGGGAGGGATTGCATTGAATTAAAGCAGCAGGAGCAAACGCTTGCCTCGGGGAGGGAGAAAAAGAGCCACAGCGGAGAATAAACAGAAGGGCAACCATGGCAACGCAATTCAGATATTTGCCGCGCATGCGTACCAGTTATGTGCACCCCTGAGTTTAAGCATCAAGTTGCTTCATAACAAATGTGGAAAAGGCGAATACTGAATATAATTTTAAGGTTTCACAGTTTTAATAGCAATATGTATTCATTTGTTCTTTATATCATTTATTAAAAATAAATCATGATAAAGAAAGATGAATTTCAGGTGTTATAGGTTCACAGTGAATTATGCAGTGTAGAATGTTGTTGTCATATTTAAATGTAAAGATCAACATTAGTCTGCCACAGTCAAATAACTAAACCACAGAAGAAGAAAATAGACTTTAGCATTAAGATACTCAGTGTGGATCAGGATAATATCAGCGTGATGTCTGCAGCTCAGAGTCAACACAACTCTCACATATTAATCTCAGCACAGAAGTAAAAGATGGAGAACTGACCCGAGTTTCTCCAGTCTGCAGTCTGGACTCTCCAGAAGATCTCTCAGCAGCTTCACTCCTGAATCCTTCAGATAGTTGTTCCTCAGGTTCAGATCTCTCAGATGGATGTTGGACTTCAGAGCTGAGGCCAGAGCAGAACAGCTGATCTCTGACAACCTGCAGTTACTCAGTCTGAATAAAGAACACATGATGTACGTTTAGAAACAATAATATTCAGCTTAAAATATTCAAGGTTTAATAATCTGTTTATAGCTGGAGAAGTAGAGAATGTAGAAGTCAACAAGTTAAAAACTGTAAGATACAAAAGAGCTCTCATTAATATTAAAGACAATGTGCTTCACCTTCAATAAAAAGTGGTGACTTCACATCTGAACCTCTGCTCCATCTACACTAACTCATGATGTGCTGCCAGACAAATCAAAACCCACAGAAACTGATTCAACTCAAGATCACAAAGTTTAAAAAGCAGCAGCACCAGAGTCTGAATAAATAACACATAATGTAAGTTCAGAGAACAATGTTCCTGCTTGAGAAAGTTTCATCTTCTTTTCAGACCTGGAGAAGGTCCAGATGCCATGTCAATAATGATGTTAGATACTTTTATAAATGTAATAGTAGATAACTATAAATTCATTGATAATGCACAACCTCACTCATATCCTTCACAGCTCATCAGTACTGACAGCATCTTCACTGACTCATGGAGCACAGTGAGAGTCTGTGGAAGCTGAAACACTGTCCCGTCACACATTAACTTTCTATGCTTTCTGTTATTGTTGTAAAATATTCAGCAATTTAGAAATAAATGCAAACTAATTAAAATACCTTTGTACTCAGGCAAATTATGGAATTATTAATATATCAATTATAAATACAGTACAAAACCACATGAACTACAGCCAGAGATCTGACCTCAGGGTCTCCAGTCTGCAGTTTGGACTCTTTAGTCCAGAACTCAGCAGCTCCACCACTGAATCCTGCAGATCGTCTTTCAGCTCCAGCTCTCTCAGATCGGAGGGGTCGGACTTCAGAGCTGAGGCCACGACTTCCCAGTCTAAGAATCCACAGTCAGGAATTCTGTTATAACACATATTACAGAATTTGTTAATATAAAAAAAGGGGAAACAATACATTTACTTCATGCATTTGAGGAGAAACATTTTGAATATCATGATCTGATTACCACTGGATGTTAGTCCATTTAATATTTGGTTGAGTGTGATCTGATCCCATATCTGTCACCTCTTTGCTAGCTACCTTCTAGACTAGAGAAGACTAGAGTCAACTTAAATCAGATATTACTCTTTGTTAATTTAACGTTAAAGAACTGCAATCATTTCATAATAACTTTACTCCATTTAATATGTGCAATTATTCTGCATGTTGCGATCTCATGTTGCCGTGATAAAACATCCTTCATTTCTTTTGACAAGGAAAATGAAGAGAAGAAAAAACAGTAACATTTTTAAATTATTAGAATAACTGTATTAATTACATTTTGCTCTCACAGTATGTGAAACAGCAAAAAGTTGTATAGTGTTTATGTGAAAAACTAAAATCCTTATCTACATTAATCTATAAAGTTAATCTGGACTCACACAGCCTCCCTGTTCACAGCTGGAGTCAGTCTCCGTCGTCCCTCTGACATCTGCAGCATGTAGGCGTGAGCTGAGCAGCGTGTCACAGAGAGTCTCTTCTCTGATCTGTTCTCTGACTTCAGGAACTCTGTGATCTCCTGATGAACTGAGTGGTCGTTCATCTCTGTCAGACAGTGGAAGATGTTGAGGCTCCTGTCAGGAGGGACTTCATCACTTCTCATCTCCTTCAGGTTGTTGATGGCTATCTGGATGATTTCTGGACGGTTGTCTGTGCGACCCAGCAGGCCTCCTAAGAGTCTCTGGTTGGACTCCAGAGAGAGGCCGTGGAGAAAGCGGATAAACAGGTCCAAGTGGCCATTTTTACTTTTGAGGGATTTCTCCATGGCTCCCTTTAGGAAGACATCCAGGGATGGGTAATCCTGATCACTGCTATCACTGTTGTTATAGTCACTCTGCAGGAAGTCCTTCACTACCTCTGTGTTCCTGTTGGTGTAACAGTGGAACATGTAGACTGCAGCCAGAAACTCCTGGACGCTCAGATGAACAAAGCAGTACACTATATTCTGGAAGATCACACTCTCTCTTCTGAAGATCTCTGTGCAAACTCCTGAGTGCACCAAGGCCTCTGTGACATCAAGACCACAGCGCTGCAGGTCTTCTTGGTAGAACATGATGTCTCCTTTCTCCAGATGTTCAAACGCCAGCCTCCCCAGCTTCAGAAGAAGCTCCTTGTCAGCCTCCGTCAGCTGCTGTGGACTCGTCTCATGTCCCTCTTCATACTTCTGCTTCTTCCTCTTGGTCTGGACCAGCAGGAAGTGTGAGTACATGTCAGTGAGGGTCTTGGGCAGCTCTCCTCTCTGGTCTGTAGTCAACATGCGGTCCAGAACTGCAGCAGTGATCCAGCAGAAGACTGGGATCAGACACATGATGTGGAGGCTCCTGGAGCTCTTGATGTGAGAGATGATTCTGCTGGACAGGTCTTCATCACTGATGAATCTCCTCCTGAAGTACTCCTCCTTCTGGGCGTCTGTGAAGCCTCGTACTTCTGTTACCTTGTCCACACACTCAGGAGGGATCTGATTGGCCGCTGCAGGTCGGGAAGTTATCCAGACGAGAGCCGAGGGAAGCAGCTTCCCCCTGATGAGGTTTGTCAGCAGCACGTTGACTGAGGACTGCTGTGAGACATCAGACACAACCTCATTGTTTCTGAAGTCCAGAGAAAGTCTGCTTTCATCCAGGCCGTCAAAGATGAGCAGCACTTTACAGACAGCTGCACAGCAGAGCAGCTGCTCTGCTGTGACCTTCTGTAAGGTTGGATGGAAAACATGGAGCAGCCTGAGAAGACTGTACTGCTCACCTTTGATCAGGTTCAGCTCCCTGAAGGAGAGCGGGATCACCAGACTGACATCTTGGTTTTCCAAACCCTCGGCCCAGTCCAGAGTGAACTTCTGCACTGAGAAGGTTTTTCCACTGCCAGCGACTCCGTTAGTCAGGACCGCTCTGATGTGAGTCTGTTGGTCAGGTAAGGCTTTGAAGATGTCCTGGCACTTGATTGGAGTGTAATGGAGGGTATTTTTCTTGGAAGCTGTCTCAAGCTGCCTTACCTCATGTTGGGTATTAACCTCTTCACTCTGTCCTTGTGTGATGTAGAGCTCAGTGAAGATCCTGTTGAGGAGGGTTTCACTTTCATCAGTTCCTTCAGTCACACGTTCACATCTCCTCCTCAGACTGAGCCTATGTTCATCTAAAACCTCCTGCAGACCACGTTCTGCTGAAAGAGAAGGAAACGTGAGAATAATGAAAACGCTTCTGAGAATCTAATTCTAGCAATAAAACAAACACAAATACACAACAGTATACCTAATTGAAAGCAAATACACCAGCAAGAATCCTGGATCTGAAGACAAGAAGGATAGCCATCAAACATCTTTACTATCTTCTGTCAAATGTCTTTGCACTACACTAAAAACACACTTCTTCTCTCTGGCTTTCTAGTTAGAGCGGAGCACGACTCCTGACTTTTCCTTGTGTTTTTTTTATTTTATTTTTTATATATATCTGTTGTAATTTATTGTCTTTTATTGTGATTGTAGTAATGTGTTTTTATTACATGTACAGCACTTTGGCTCGACCAAAAATCGCTTTTAAATGTGCTATATAAATAAAACCTGATTTGATTTGATTTGATTTGATTTGCAGGCCTAACCTTCCCCGGGCTTGAGATGTGTCCAGTGTTTCTACTGTGAGGATCCACAGTACTACCTCCCTGTCTTTCTTCTGCGTTTTTTGTCCTGGCTCCCCCTTTATTCCCTCAGCTCTGTTTCCTGGTTTTCCCGCCTGCCCATTCCCCAGCAACGGCCGCTACTCCTTTACCCAACCCGTTTCGCAATAAAGCCTTTTGATAGTTACAGTTTCCATCCTCAGTGATTTGCTTTGTGGGTTCAATCCAGTTGCTCCACGTGCGTGTAAAATGTATTAATGAAAACACTGCTGTCTCTTTTAATACACACTTCAAAAACATTGCCTGGAAGAACATCAGATGATATAGTGCGGCAATGAAAGTTGATACAAGAGAAGAGACCCAGATCCCAGACGGCGCTAATGGCGCTGCATGTGTTCGGCCTCTTACTTCGTACAGTGCTGATCTGACTCTCACCTCTGGTTCTGGATCTTTCTCCACACTGGGGACATGAGGAGTCTCCTGATGGAGTTTGCTGCTCCCAGTATGAGGTGATGCACTGTCTGCAGAACCAGTGTCCACAGCTGGTAGAGACTGGATCCTTTAGGACGTCTTGACACAGAGCACAGCTGGACAGCTGCTCCTCCACAGGAACTGGACTTTCCCTCTTCCCTCTGTGGAGATGAACACATCCTTTATAGCACACTGCAATACTGGTGGATCATTTTCACCAATGGTACAATCCAAGGTGGCAAATTATTGTGTGATATTTAAAAACATTATATTAAACATAAATCTCTGTCTAATATATACCTGATATCTTCGTGATAAGGTAGATAGTTAAAATTCTCATTATTATAAAACCTAAAAGCATCCTGTCTGGATTCATCACCCAGAGGAGCACACAGCATGTTCACTGTATCTACTAAGACACACCTCAGCTGCCCATATATTCAACCTGGCTTTGCACTTTTTGTTGTTGTTATTTTCTCTTCCTTCTTGTAAAGTGTCTTTGACACATATGGAAATTATGCCGAAATAACAACATAATGATAGTGATTTGTAAAAAGCCTGAGTTAATGCTTTGTCAGGTCTGTTTCCAACAAGCCAACATTTAAAAAAATGTGTTTTCTGAATGGAGATTGGTTTGATTAAAGCTAGGCTACCATTGTAGCTGCTCCACGAACCCTCAAAATAACTTCCTCAAGTCATAAGATCATCAGTGACTATATTGTTAGTAGAGAGTCTCATGGTTTATACACATACATTTATAACACTGATTTAATATGAGGTACTGTAGGGCTCTGGGTGCTGATGTTTTCCATTCTGAATTTCGTCAGATCATCAGTAATGACAGTAGCAGGATTGCATCCCTGACAGGTTTTTGTAACAGAGCCTCACACAAACTTTACTTTCAAGTTGACATTTTTAACGGTGCACGAATATGCAGATGACATGAATTTCACATCTTCACTTTATTCGTGTTGCCAGGCACGGATCTGGATCTTTGCATTGACTCTACCAACACATTCTCACTCCCAACTCGGCCTATGTTGACGTTATGTCAGGGTCCCTATCGTCACTTTCCAACGCAAGGGGGGGCCCTTTAGCGTCGAGTTTCAACTATCAAGGAGTCCCATTGACTTGCATCGAGCTCCCTGAACGTTGGTAATAGACGAGTTGGGATCGCGGCGAAATGCTCTCCGCAGATCCATTCTCACAGCGTTTATCAACCTTTTTCTAACTCAATATCAAGACACACTTATTGTGTTTACTTCTTTATTTTAATTGAATAATGTAGGACTTTTGTTGCCGTCAGTTAGGGGGAAAGTAGGGGCTCAGAATACTGAAATCTGTATTGTTTCATCATTTTTTCCTTCTAATTTTGTATTCTTTTCTAAACCACACACTGTTATTTACTCAACAATAAGACACAATTATCCTTGTGTTTATTTATTTGTTTGATTGTATAATGTCGGACTTTTTTGTGTGTGTGTGTGTGTGTGTGTGTGTGTGTGTGTGTGTGTGTGTGTGTGTGTGTGTGTGTGTGTGTGTGTGTGTGTGTGTGTGTGTGTGTGTGTGTGTGTGTGTGTGTGTGTGTGTGTGTGTGTGTGTGTGTGTGTGTGTGTGTGTGTGTGTGTGTGTGTGTGTGTGTGTGTGTGTGTGTGCAGAGAGTCTGCAGCGGTCCTGCCAAACCCCCGACCCGTCTTGTACACGGAGCCCGTTTCCTACACAATCAGGGCCGGTTCTAACCAATTTGCTGCCCCAGGGCGAGATTTTAGCTGGCGCCCCCCCCCCCCCCTCGTTCAGTAGAAAAGATAAAAGTATCCAAGGAATACACAATAGAATATATAAAAAATAAATGAAAAATCTCTACAAAAGACCAATAGCCTACACTACAAAAACAGAAACTTATTGACATAGGTAATATACATCAAAAAGGCTTCAAATGTATTCAGTATTGTATGAACATGTTTTAATTGGGGTGTGGACGTCACATCCTCTAGGGGGGTCCAGGGGTATGCCCCCCCGGGAAGAAATGTTTGAAAATGTAAAGTAAAATGCTTCAATCTGGTGCACTTTAAGCACACATTACTAGAGACTAGATCTAGGGGGTACAACTCTAAACACCCATATGAAAAAGTTCGGTTTACATTTTAATAATCAAATAAGTGAACATAACCAATAACCTACCATAGCCAATAACAAATGAATGTAACTTATTAGGGCCCGAGCACGGAGCGTGCGAGGAACCTACTGTTATTGGAGGAATTCTTATTTTTCTGCTGGCGTTTCGTGTTTTTGAGGCCTTTAGGACGCTTACAAAGTTGTATAATTTTGCACGGACGCCAGGACTGGTGAAAACTACAATATTCTGGAGTCAATGGGTTAAATATTCCAACCTGCTCACTAGCGCCACCTATCAAAATCCCATTTCGGAATACATTTACAAAGTCGCACCGTAACTCCCAATGACCTGAAATTTTGCACACATATCCGGGTGGACCTGCTCTACAAATAATCCTCTTGGAACCCTAAGCTCCGCCTATATTTATTTTTATTTTAATTAGCATAATGTTGAAAACAGTGAAATATTCACTTAAATTTCAATTTTCAGTTTTTCAACACCAAACTTCGTATACAGCATCGGTGGAGGGTCAGACACATTACCATAGAAAATGAGCATGTTAGGACGATAAATATTGCCGCTGTCAATCAAAACGTACTCGCAAAAAGGCGGGGCTTAGAAAGAAATGCTCATAACTCATCAACAATGTATCAACCAAACATCTCAGATTTTGGTGGATAGGTTCAGTCTGTCTTGGGGAATAGGCACACCAAAGCATTTTCATTTTGGACAATAGGGGGCGCCAAAAACACCACCAATTTATAACTCAAGAGTGGATGGACGAATTTTTTTTTTTTTTTTTTACACATACTCTGGGGGTGATAACAAACTGAGATTTAAAGTGTCGCAACAAATGCAGAATGTGGGCGTGGCCTATACATTTTTTTAAATTGCGATAGCATAAAATGAGCTTCGGACGCAAAACTTGGGACACACGTCAGAGCCCACCACCTTTTCGAGAATGTAAAAAAAAAACGTAATTTTTCAAAAAAACTGCTCACTAGCGCCCCCTATAGTAGTCACATGATGATGATGCGCCGATGAAGATGGCCGCATCGTCTATGTGCTCCTCTCCAACTTTGCCCATTTTCGTGTTTTGTACATATTTCTTTTACTTTTGCCGTTTTACTTTTAACATGGTTCGCAACATGCTAGCCGACCGCACCTACTCTGCCATACAATATAGCAGAGAGGAACTTCTCCAATTGCGAAACTTCGTGGACAATAATAACCCTCCGACAAACAATGGACATTCACCATGGCTACCTGTTGCTGTTCTACCTGAGAGACGCAAGAAGAGGACAAAGCGGGGATCCCGGGCCGGGTTGCTGGTCAGATTGAGGAAACGAGAGAATCGGCCCCCTCTTCCGAGTATTCTTCTGGCTAATGTTCAATCCATTGAAAATAAGCTAGATGAACTCAGAAGCCGGATTGCTTTTCAACGGGACATTAAGAACTGTAACGTGTTAATTCTCACTGAGACTTGGCTCAACCCCGCTATCCCGGACTCCGCTATTGTCCCTGATGGATTCTCTATTTTTCGTCAGGACCGGACTGCTAACTCGGGGAAAAGTAAGGGAGGCGGTGTGTGTGTAATGACTAACAACAACTGGTGCTCAGATGTGAAGATTATTTCATCGGACTGTTCCGCACAGCTAGAGCACCTCATGATCTCATGTCGGGCCTTCCATCTGCCGAGGGAATTCACATCTGTTGTGATAACAGCAGTGTATATCCCGCCGCAGCCACTCGCCGACAACAACACGGCACTCGATCAGCTGTTTGGGATTATTGATAAAACCGAGACTTCACGGCCAGATGCGGCGTTCGTTGTGGCCGGAGATTTCAACACCGCCAACATGAAGAAGGTTTTGCCAAAATATTACCAACACATCAACTTCCCGACGCGCGGGGGAAACATACTGGACCATGTTTATTCCCCTTTCCGGAATGGATATAAGGCTCTCCCTCACCCTCCCTTCGGCAAATCAGACCATATCTCACTACTGTTGTTGCCTGCGTACAAGCAGAAACTTAAAAGGGACAGACCGGTAACAAGGACAGTACAGCGATGGAGCGTGGAGTCAGATGAGGCACTGCAGGATTGCTTTGCATCCACGGATTGGAGTGTGTTTGAGGACAATAACATCAACACACACACGGACACTGTCATCTGCTACATTGGGAAATGCATCGATGACGTGGTACCGAAGGTTTCTGTACGGACATTCCCAAATCAAAAGCCCTGGGTAAACGGTGAGGTGCGCGGCAAACTGAAAGCGTGCACTCTCGCGCACACAGCGGGAGATTTGGAGGAGTACAGGAAGTCTAGGTATGATCTCCGGAGAGCAATTAAAAATGCAAAGAGACAGTACAAAGACAAGGTGGAATCTGACTTCAAAGGCTGTAACACTAGGAATATGTGGGCGGGACTAAGGACAATGACTGACTACAAAGGAGCAGCGGGGGGGTGCTGCGGGAGTGTCTGCGTGCGCATCTCTCCCAGATGAGCTAAACAGTTTTTTTGCACGCTTTGAGAGCAGCCAGGCTGTGGAGGTACAGAGGGACCAGGAGCTACACTGCCCTTTTGTTTTAAATAGGGCAGATGTGTGTAAATCCTTTAAAAGAGTTAACCCACACAAGGCTCCTGGACCTGATGGCATCCCTGGCCGTGTTCTCAGGGTGTGTGCAGTTCAGCTGGCAGAGGTGTTCACAGACATCTTCAACAGGTCCCTGCTGCAGTCTGTAGTCCCCACATGTTTTAAACACTCCACCATCATTCCTGTCCCCAAAAAGACAATCATCACCTGCCCCAACGACTACCGCCCAGTAGCACTCACCTCCATCATAATGAAGTGCTTTGAGCGGTTAGTCAAATTATTCATCACCTCCTCCCTCCCTGAATCTCTGGACCCCCTGCAGTTTGCCTACAGAGCAAACAGGTCCACAGACGACGCCATAGCCCTCACCCTCCACACTGCCCTCTCACACCTGGACCCGAAGAACAGGAACACATATGTGAGAATGCTGTTCATTGACTACAGTTCAGCATTCAATACCATTGTGCCCTCCAAGCTGGCCATCAAGCTCAGAGACCTCGGGCTCAACAGTGCCCTCTGTGACTGGATCCTGAACTTCCTGACGGGCAGACCCCAGGCAGTGCGGGTGGGAAACATCACATCCTCCACCCTGATTCTAAACACCGGTGCCCCTCAAGGCTGCGTGCTCAGCCCTCTCCTCTACTCCCTGTTCACCCACGACTGCGTGGCCACACACAGCTCC